CTCCTGAAATAAACCCAAATACATATGGAAACAGAATAATATTAGGGTGACATTTTGCTACCTTTAAGGTGGTATCTCATCTCTGAGGATGAGATGACCTTTCAGTAAACAGTACTTCCAACAACTGGATAAACATTTAAAATTATGTATTTGGTGCCATATCTTGTGCTGTATACCCCAATAAACACAAACTAGATCAAAGACTTGAATAGCTTAGTTCAATAATGACAAAAATTTGTCCTAATAGTGTTTAGACAAGATCTCATGTCTGCATCTTGTACTATGAATAACTACTATGAAGACAATAATATGCAATGTATTAATTATTATAACTGTCCTAATAACCTGTTTTGAAACTGGCTCATTGCTATTTCTTTTCCAATAAAGTTATTTTTTTAAAAAAAGAAAATAATGAAATCATAAAAGTACAAGAGAAAAATCTAGGCAAGGGGCCAGGGAGATAGCTCAGTGGCTTAAGTTCCTCCAGCACAAGGTCTTGAGTTCTATCCCCACTACCGAAAAAAAAAATCTAGCAGAACTTGATTATACATTTGGTGTGGGAAAACCGAGGTAACTATGACTTATTTTCAGAAGCAGTAAAAGCAAATACAGGTATATTCAGCTATATTTTAAAAAGACTTTTATATGGCTGAAACAAAAACTGCTATCAGCAGAATTAAAAAACAATAAGTGACAAACTGGAGAACATATTGGAAGATACTGACAACTGACAGCTACAATAAATAAAATATTAATATTCTTAATGTATAAAGAGAACCTTAAAACTTGATAAGAAAGAAGGGAATGATAGTTCTGAGAAAGATACATAAAGATACAGAAATGACCCTTAAAATATGGATGGAGGCTCCATTTAACTCATAATGAAAAAGAAACATACTAAAGTTGTTCTCAATTTCCATTTAAATTTATCAAATTAGCAAAACTTAAAAAGTTGACGTGTTCCATTAGTCAGGAAGATAGATTACTCCCTACGTGGCTACAGGGCAACATCCAAGAGGAGCACTTCAGATGCTCCATTTTCTGTACGAAAGAGAAACAAGAAAACACGCACATACATATGCTCAAAGAAATTCCAGAAAGATAA